ACTTTTTTTATACCTATTGACGCCTACCAAATGACCGATTGGCCTAGTATGGTCCATGACGGGACGCGGGCTAGCGTTCATGACGTCATCGCGGGGTGTGCCTGGAGCGCGAGGGGTCAAAGGTCAAAGTGGAGCGAAGCGCATCCTTATCTACTTAGTAGTGAAGTTCGTTTCGGTTCGTAAATGCCCTTTTGTCCGCTTCTCGTCGATCGATGATGATAGGGTTAATAAATGTAGAAGTTGTGGAGTAAAAGTGATGATTTATTGACAGCAACTCGTAATTACACAATATGGTGTTCGTTCGGTAACTACTCAATATTGACTGTGTTCATTTGAACTCAAATCCCCCAATTTATAATCTCACACATAATAGATACATGAGCACCTTAGGTCATTGCTTCGTTCATATCACACCACCTAACTTTTGCTTATAATACAATTTAATCTACACCTTAATTGTGACACTTAGGAAGTTCAATTAGAAAATATTATTATTCGGCAATTTATTTAGTTGTAGGTAAATGAACTAATATTAAATTATCATACGATATGGTCTTGCAATATATATAATGCAAACTTAAACACGGTGAAACTATAAAAGATTAAGAAGTTAAGAATAATGTGAGATTACAAATTAAGGGGTTAATTTGTGATTGAACACCTATGTTCAGACTTGGTTCGTGAATCAATACGTTATTGCCATCACAGATAACAGAATTGCACTAAATCTAAATAAAAAAGAACGTTCAAAAAAGTTTTCATATAGGTATTATGATCATTAACACCAAAAAAACCGTATCTAATAAATTTAATAACCAGAGAGAGAGAGTTGCGTAAATGTCTAAAATACTTAAAAGATCTTTAAACGTAGGGTATTCGCACAGGGAACATTGGAATGCATCTACTGTCTTCTTCTTCTTTTAGTTCTATGGATTCTGTTTTTCCTGTTGGCATTATAACGCTGGTCTTGTTGTTCTTGTTAATTTCATTAATTGTCCTTATTATCTGATGGTCTATTTGTTCAGCTTGTAAAAAATTAAAGATGTCATTTCGGTTCACCCTGTCAAGAGCACTTTTTAAATCTACAAAGCACACGTATGTTGGTTTTCCATATTCAATGGACTTTTGCCTGATATATCAATTTTATGGAGCTCCAATTCCTGCACAACTTCCTGTTCCCATTTGTTCCACGATGCGATGTTCCAAGTGCCAATTCGTAGATTATTTGCTCTCTTTGTCCTTTTTCTTGCGTGGTTCGTCATCTGTTTATCCGTCAAATTCAGAGGCTTCTGTTCGGTTCTATGAGCATTGATTTTTTTGACAGTAGGTAGGCTGCTAACCTTGCTCACCAACCCCCTCTTCGGAGGACCATTTCTCCCTTCCTCGTCAGTCCTGGCCTTGCCTTCCGTTGTGGTTGGTTACCCAATTTCCAGCAAAGTTGCTCAGGTTTTCCAGGGTTCACCCGTGCAGCGCAAGCCGCACTTCGTGGAGGTGAGGATAGGGATTGAGTAGGAGAGGCTAGAGAATGCTAACTGGAAACAGCATTTTATATTGCGCTTCACTACCCCTTTGAATCCCATGCAATGCAATGCCATGTATAATGCATCTACTGTAATTTTGTAATGTGTCTGTGTGCCGTCCTTTTAGCTGATTTGATACAATATTTCGTTGAACTGGCAACGTTGCCCTAGAAATTAGAATGACATATGTGACAAGATCAACTTACACAACTTGAAAAACACGATTTTCGGTTATAAGAGTTGGACAAGTTTTTTATGACGCTATACTTAACACTCTTCATCGATTTGAACTTCAATTCATTACATAGGAGGAAAAATCGCTTAAATGTAAACAATCAAAAATATTCTTATAATAATTTTACATGTTCGAATACCTTTTAAGTAAATCAGTTCTTGAACTAAGGAACCCGCAGCTATGTACTCAGCTTCTGCAGTTAAAAGAGCACCACAGTTTTGCTTCTGGAACAACCATGAAACTGGTTTATAAAATACAATACAACCTGTACTACTTTTTCTATTAATTTAATTAGATGCCCAATCTCTTTGCAGTGCATGAGCCAGCATCATTCTCACTGTGCTCATTTTTGCCACAGGTGCATAGGTTGATTTTAGTTAATTCTCCTCCTGTACTTGAAAACCCTTTGCAACCAACGTTACTTTATGTGTTCCATCATCTTTAATTTTAAAAACGCATCTTGTATCTATAATATTTTTGTTATCAGGTAAATTAACTGGTGTCCATGTGTTTAGGTTTTCCAATGACTCCAGTTCTTGGTTAATTGCATTACTCCACTTTCCATTTTTCTGCGCTTCTTCAAACGTCTTTGGTTCACCATTTAATCACAGTAAGCAATAAGCTGAATATAGCTCGTTTTCCTTAAAATATTCTGGTAATTTTACTTCCTTTTCTCTTCTAGTGCATGTGGGATCCTCTTCATTACTTTCTATTTAATTTCTAATTAATTCTTCGTTTTCAGGTAAACTTCCATTTTTGTTGCTTCCATCTTCAATACCTTCAGAATTTCCTTCATCTTTGATCCAAACTATTTGATGTTTACTCTTATAATAACCTACCATTATTGTTGTTGTTGTTCTAATATCAAATTTATTCGGCTTTGGAAGAATGACACTCCCTGCTTTACAACCAAAAACTCTAAAGTGATTAATATTATTCTCACCATATCATATTTGAGATGGTTTTTTACCAGCATTAGCTGTTGTAGGACTCCTGTTCAATTCATAAGCCGAACATCTCATTGCTTCACCCCATAAATGTTTAGGCAAGTTAAGTTATATTTAAACCAGAACAAAAATATTAAGGCATTGAATTCTAAACAATTTTATAAATTTGTTTATTTGTTTGTTTATTTAACGGGATGAACCCTTTTTCCTTACAAAAATTACAATATACACATATAATTAACATATAAACTGTAGTCATATATTACGATTTTAAAAAGTATTAATAACATTAATGTCTCAATTTCTTTAAACTATTCTTGAATGAGGACATGGATAAATTAAACAATTCAACACTATCTTGCAAATTATTGGCAGTTCTCAACATCCTTGTGATTGACTCACTTTTACCATAATTTAGTCTAAACAGGTCAGGAGAGTGTGTTCTTCTAGAATTTACATTAAAAACAATTAATTCCAGCAATTCCTGACAATCAACATAACCATTAAGAATTTTGTGCAAAAAACGCAATTCACAGTCAGATTCTCTATTTTCTAAAGTTTTCATATTAAGTTGACAAAGAATATAGTTATAATCACAGTTAGTTCTATTAAAACCCATTTTATACCTGCAAATTCTTAGGAATTTATTTTGAACTCGTTCCAACTGATCAATATACATATTATAATATGGATACCAAATAATATTACAATATTCCAAAATGGACCGAACTAGAGAACAATACAAAATTTTGAAAGTAAATATTGAAAATTCTCGGGAGTTCCTTTGAACAAAGCCGAGCATTCTATAAGCCCGCGATGTAATATTATTAATATGCCTATCAAACATTAGTCTTTGGTCAAATGTAATTCCAAGGTCTCTAATTTGATTTACTTCTGTAATCGATACTCCCTTAAGTATGTATGTTCTATATAACTGATGTTTAGTATTTCTGTAAAACGTAATTTTATAGCACTTTTTTATATTTAAATATAAGGCATTAATGTCACACCAACGAGATAAATTATTTAAATCAGACTGAAGAGCATCCATATCAGAGGTATTTTTAATTGCTTTAAAGATCTTTATGTCATCAGCAAATAATAGAAATTCACTATTATTAATTACTGATGATATATCATTCACAAACAGATTAAATAGAAGTGGGCCTAAGTGAGAACCTTGAGGTACACCCGAAGTAACATTAATCGCTTCAGAAACAAAATCACCATATTTTACTATTTGTGAACGATCTGTTAAATAACTCGTGATCCAACCCAATAAATTATCACCAATTCCGTATCCACGAAGTTTAGCAATTAATATTTCGTGATTTACCCTGTCAAATGCTTTGGCAAAATCAGCATACATGGAGTCAACTTGGTTTCCCGATTCCATAGAATCAACAATGAAGTTTGAATACAAAATAAGATTTGTACAAGTAGATTTCTTTTGATAGAAACCATGTTGTTGACCGAGAATTAAATTTTTACAATCGTAGGTTAACATATGGTTAACAAAAAAATCAAGCAACTTTGGTAGTTCAGACTGCAAACAAACAGCCCTGTAATTTTCATCATTATTATTTTGACCAGATTTAAAAATGGGTTTTAAAAAACTCACTTTCCAAAAATCAGGAAATGTAGAAGAAGTTAATGACTTATTGAATAATAACTGAATAGATTTAGCAAGAGTGAATACACATTTTTTAATAAAATACATTGGTATACCATCTGGACCGCTGTCAGTTTCCACGGATTATTCTGTATCTTATCAATAATATCCTTAACATTAATTAAATAACTATTAGCATTAACATAATTTTCGTACTTAAAATTAGGAATCTGATTTCTTTTTCCTTTATTATAGACAGTCGGAAAGAACCCAGCAAATAAATTCACAATATCTGAACCATTTTCACTACTTTCATTACCATAACTCATACTCGATGGTAGAGCATGAGATTTGCGTTTATTATTAATATATTTCCAGAAAGAACAAGAATTATGAAAAATGCTAGCCTCAATTTCATTCACATGACGCCTTTGTAAATGCTTGCTAAGCTCTTTACATTGTTCCCTGAGATCGGAAAAAAGACAATAGTTCTCATCACCATTAGCAAAAAATTAGCAAAACATTTCTTGCTGGGGCACTGTTTCTATAGTATACAGACATTTGTTTGTTTGAGCTCCTAGTGTGGTTGTTTTTATGAAAACTATTTTACACCTAACTGACTATTTGTGTTATGTCTATATGTATCTTTTAAACAGGATGTAGCTAATAGTTGAATACTTTTATAGGAAACACAGTCGCTGAAAGCTGGAAATACCATCTAAGCATCGTGGAATCTGACTTTGCCGCACTCCAAGAGAAACTTAAGAACGAAGTCAACGAGCTCGAAGAAAGGTGCAACGCTCTCGTTAACGAAAACAATGAGCTAAGAAAAAATGCTGACGTCGAGATTAAAAATGAGGTCGATCGTATTTCTGCTCTTCAGCAACAGATCACTGACAGACAGCATTCCATTAATGACTTAAATAAACTTTTGGCCACCGAACAGATGGAAAAAGCCGCCTTGGCCCAGCAGGTAGGTGTGGTATTATCTCTTTACAGTAATAGCAAAACATTTTACAACTTTTATTAAGTAAATCATGAATGTGTTGCTTGTGTGAGTCCATTTCAAATAGGTAAAGAAATAATAAATAAGACTTACTCACAATCAATTTAATTTAACTATCAGACGACCGGTTTCGCTTTCTACAATATGCAAAGCATCTTCAGGTCTCGATACAAAGTTAAATAAATGCTGAAATGATAAAAACCCATATTAGGGTGCTGTCTAATAAAGATAAACAAAGTAGATGTTGGAAATTACAATAATTATGCCAATATTACATGTCTGTGGTTTTATTTCAAAAATACAACTTACTCTTTTTGAAATAAAACCACAGACATGTAATATTGGCATAATTATTGTAATTTCCAATATCTACTTTGTTTATCTTTATTAGACAACACCCTAATATGGGTTTTTATCATTTCAGCATTTATTTAACTTTGTATCGAGACCTGAAGATGCTTTGCATATTGTAGAAAGCGAAACCGGTCGTCTGATAGTTAAATTAAATTGATTGTGAGTAAGTCTTATTTATTATTTCTTTACCTATTTTTTATTAAGTAGTTTGGTACTAAGAGAATGTAACCTTATGTTTATTTATAGGTTTTAGAATTGGAGAAAACACAACAACTATTGGCTGATAAAGAAGTCGAATTCATACGACTGAACTCTAAGTCAGAAGCAGTTCAACAGGAATTAGAAGAGCAACACAAATTCTTCAAACAAGTGATAGCAATTCTCGAAGAAAATACCTCATTCCCGCTACCTTCTGTAGAAAAAGAGATACTGGACGAATTACGCAGACAGTTGAATCTCTCAAGTAACACCAGCCAAGAGATAAATTCACAATTCGAAAACCTAAATTCACAACTACATAGTTACTACAGCGTTCTTCAAGAAAGAGACGCTGAAGTCTTGAAGTTAAAGGAAGATCTAGCTCAGTTGCAAACTTACCAAACAGTTGCCCAAGAGAAGGAAACAGAAATCTTGAGATTGAAGGAAGAAAGTGCACAATTACAGATATACTACAACACTATTCAAGATAAGGACCTGGAAATCCTAAGATTGCATAATCTTGTTAGTGATTTACAAACACAAGTGAATCAGATCACAGAGAAAGATGCAGAGATTATAAATCTCACTCAAAATGTTGAACATTTGAATGATCAATTTAAGCAATTGGATCAGAAAGAAGCAGAAATTGTTAGACTGCAAGCAGTTGTAAACGAATACAAGGAAACACTTACCAACAACGAAAGAGAACTTCAAAACTTACAAAAACAATTAACTGATACCAATCTAGTTGTTGAAAATCAGAAACAACAATTACAAGACTTAAGTCAAGCCTATAATGCCCTTCAAAGCACTTTTGACGAAAGAAATCAGCAAATATCGACGTTAAACCAACAATTACAAGTCACTCAGAACAACAAAGAAGCTGAGAATCTTGAAAATGAGCTAACTCGCTACAAAGATGAGTGTTTGAAACTTCAACATTATCTAGATGAATGCCAGCAACAACTTTTTAACATCACTCAAGATCTGGCTACCAAAACTCACGAATACCAAACCGTTAGCCAACAATTGGCGTATTCGCAACAAAATGCTGACTTACTCCAAGGCCAAATAAATGAACTGAACGAAACGTTGCACCAAAAAGAACAAGAGTATTTGGTGTCATTGGAAAACTTGAACAAGACTCGGTACAAAGAAATCGAAACGCATTATGAAGAACTTATGGCTGCTAGAGATTTGGATATACAAACTTTAAGAGCACAAGTGGCTGAATCGGTCTACAACGCAAGTGAGCAATCTACTCTCAAAGCTGAATTAGAAAATCAAGTAAAGAAATTAGAGGAACAGATTGTAGAACTTACTAATATTACAGGAGAGCAGAAATCTAAAATAAAAGAATTGGAAGAAAAACTTTCTGAGCAGACATCTTTATCTGAAGAAGAAACTAAGCAATTGTCCGAAATGCGGGCCATCATAGAAGAGCAGGTAGTAAAGATAGAAGACCTGAAGAGGGAACTGTTCCAAAAGAGCAACGATTACGATAGTCTTATAGCTCAAATGGATATCAGCAGGAGCGCAATAACTCAACAACCAGTCGCTTCCACTTCGATCGAAGCACAATCGTCACAGAGACCGCCCCTTCCGGAAGAAGAATCTGAGCTAGTTAATCGCGCCGAGCTGGACATAGCTCTTTATATGTTACACCAAAGAGATGTGCGCTGCGAAGAGCTCACTGTGGAACTGACGCATCTGTTAGAAGAGCGAGATACGCTACAACTGAGACTCTCTACTGCCATCCGAGAAAAGGAGGAGTTGAGGAGGAAGAATGCAGGTGCTGGAGGTATGTATAGTTTCTACACAGTTGCTAACGGGCGCCTTTTTGGAAAATTATTTAAATCGTATTATATGGCAAGTAATATCTTATTCGAAAATTCTTTTCTTAAATTTATTCAGGGATTCTAAAGTATTCACTGCCTTCCCTAGCTCCACCGTTTCTATTTCTCTCTGTAGTCAAATTCTCCATCAGTTAGACCTCCTTTACTCATGGTGTCGTCTACTTCGTTCCTCCAGGATCTTCGGTGTCGTCCTCTTTTCCTAATTCCTATGGGTCTCCATTCGGTTATTTTCTTTATCCATCTGCTGTAGTTAGTACTTCTTACATGTCCATACCGCTTTAGTCTTTTTTGTTCTATACAGGGTGTTTCAAAAAAAGGTAACCCCGTCTCTAGGGTAGGTAAAAAACTGAAAAATAATTGGGGTTTGCTTTGTAAAAAATTTTTGTAACGCCATCCGTTTTCAAGATATAGGGCGTTGAAGAAAAAAAAAATTACGCATTTTTTACGATTTTGCCGAAACTACTGGCAACATTGTAATGAAATTTTATACGAATATGTTTTGGAAGCTGATACATCCCATGAATGTGTTTTTATATCTGATTCTCATAGAGGGCGCTAGTTACACGGATCGTACTAAGTATTAGTCAATATAACTTATTTAAGAGTATAATTATTAATTAAAATTTCAAGTAAACTTAAACATCATTCAATTTTACACGAAAAAATTGAAGCCATTTTAGTGTTGCTTCTTAAAAGACAGAAAATATTGATTTTTCACGTTGAGTACACCTATGAATAACTGTTCTGATGAGACCTATTAGGTCGAAATACGTATCAACAGATACATAGGAGTTGTTTGCGTGAAATCAAATATTTACTGTCTTTTTCATTTCATTTTAATTAAACTTCTTTTAAAAACATAAAAAAAATGTTTAGTAACTTTAAATAATATTTATATCGCATGCTCTTTCGTGATTTATTTGTGATATGGCAACACTGCCAAATACAAATCACTAATTTGTAGCTAACTTCATCGGCAGTAATCGGCACTTTATACTTCTGCCAATAATTCTTATAGCCGACATACGTTTGACTCACATGTTTTGATTTATTTCCTATAATAAAAATGATGACGATGTGCAAAGATCCGGTGGATCGACTGTAATTTTCATATTCTTCCCCACACAGCTTCGCATTCTTAATAATTTCTGACTTATAATTGTCTTTTTTACCTCTTTTTTTACTTTTTTCTAAATTCAGATCATTTGTGCCATTTATTTCAGCCATCGTAATCGTTTTGTTTACAAATGACAATTCCGCGCCAAAACAACAACAGTCAAACTGTAGCTTATTACTGCAAGTCGAGACTGATGTCGTTTCTGCTTAGAATTGTGCATTGACCCATAAAAAACGGATTTATGAAGAAATATCAATATTGCCAAACATTGACTCATATTGTTTCTGAAAAGACCGATTCAAGTGCCTTAAATATATATCCTAAATTTTAACCTTACTGTTGATATTTACTGTCCAATTAAAATTGGAATAACTATTAATGGTTTTTCAACAAACTAATTTAAAATAGTTTATACAAAAGTAGATTAACAGACAAGTTTTGTTTTATTTCAAATTGCAAAAAAATATCACTTTAATTTCATAAAAAGTGCATATTTAGCTAATACAATTCTGGCAACTGTCAAATTTGTATCAAATTCTAGATATGTCAGGAAATACAATAATTATGTAAGGATTAAAAGAAGGCCCTGAGAAGAATAATAGTTAGGTTATGTCTAATAGTTAGGCAACCACCAAGGCACACACTAGTGTAGTATAAACATCAACAAATGTCGAATTTGTAAGAAACATATTGTGTTATTTTAATGGAACTGATATTTTTTAGCTACTTCAGACCCAACTACATCTACCAGTGATGAATCTGGAATGCCAAGAAGCAGAACATCAGAAATCTTCCTCGCAGCATCCGGTACTGAACTAGCTAGTGAACCAGAAGAACATTTAACAGTCAAACAAGATCTTGCTAGCAAGTAAGTCGATGTTGAAACAGTTAACTTTGTGAATATATTAGTTACTCTACAATTACTTCGTGAAAATACCATGCTAATATATTAATTTTATATTTCTAGGTTATCAGAACTGAAGCAGGTTGGTTATAGGAAAGATAAGACCTTTGTAGATGAACAAGAGCTTCGCCGGCTTCAACAAATGTCCATAATGCAACAGCATATTAAGGAAGCTTCCAAATTACCGCCAGAAGCAGCTGCCAAATTAGTTGACGCTAGCTACACACTTTGTAAGTTTTATTTTCCTAATAATAAATTGAATCTATCATGTACATGATTTGGTGGATACACACACAAAGATGGTGAGGACGATCACACATCTAAAGCTAAGGAAATCGGGCTTAGCTAGTTCTGATATAAAAATAGTCAGTTCGACTAGAATTGGTAAACGAAATAAAAATGGGTATCAATCACTGCGACTAACTTTAGAGTCACCTCAAATGGTTCGGTTGATATTGAGAAACAATAGGGAGTTAGATAGAGGTTTAAAAGTATTCCTGGAAGCTGAGTTAACTACTGAACAACGAGCTGAGGTCAATGCACTGAAAAATTAGTTAAAAGAAAGACAGCGTAAGGGTGAATCCGATCTCATTTTGAAATATGTTAATGGTGTGCTAAAGTTAATACGAAAAAACTAAACATACCTACCAGGTTCAAAGCCCTTTCAGTCGAGACTTCAAAAGCGCTGGTGTATTTTCAGAATGTCAGAGGGTTACATACAAAACTTCAGCTACTAATTTGAAAATACTTTTTACTCACAATATGATATTTTAGTTTTTAATGAAACATGGTTAACAGATGACATAATGAGCGCCGAACTGAACATTTTTGACTACAACATATATAAAAGAGATAGATCCTCAGAAACAAGTACCTTCAAGAGGTGGAGGAGTGCTTATGACCGTCCGGAAAACCATAACCAGTGTTCATTTGTCAGCAAATCAAAATATCGAACATTTGTTTGTCAAGATTAAGATTGGCCACATCAACAAGTTTATCTTTGCATATAGATAATATACAGTATCTATACTATTAATGGTTGTCCTTTAGACTCTGTATTTCAGATAAAACACCTAGGTGTTGCGCTTGATTCCAGCTTATCCTACATCCCCTATATCTCATCTGTTGTCTCCAAATCACTTCAACATTTAGGGTTTACCAAACGTTATGCTAAAGACTTTTTAAATACCCCATCCATAAAATTTTTGTATTGTTCACTTGTGAGACCCTACCTTGATTACTGTTCATGTGTATGGTCTCCTCACTATAATACCCATATTCAAGCTATTGAGAGAGTTCGACACAAATTCTTAAGAATTGTTGCATTTAAACAAAACCAGAGGATTGAAGAAATTAACTATTCAAATATGGAAAGATCCCTCAACATAACTTCTCTCCACATGTTTTATAGTATACTGCACTATATTATTTTTGGTCCTCAACTATTAGAAAAAAATAATCTCCATGTTCCCCAAACAACCAAGGCTAAATCAAATGAATACATAACTTTCTACTTTTTTTAAGCAATATTAATTTTGATTGTTGTTTTTAGCTCGAGACGTCCAAAGTCCTTCCAAGGTTCTCCTAAACTGGTTGTGGGGTAGAAGTACGCCAAGAGTGAATGACACATAACATTTGCACTGCATGAAACTGACTTTTTAATAAATATGTGCCTAAATATTTGTGTAAGGTACTAAGGGCTAGCTTGTGAGATTAGATGTATCAGTAACCTATGACAAAAATTGTAAACTCAAAATTTGTTCCTGTAATATTTGTTGATATTTTTGTTCATTTATTTATTTAAATTAATATCATGTCAGGCACAGTATTGTATAAGCTGCTAAAATGTTGGCCCTAGACCTTTACTTAACTTAGCTAATGTAAAAATATGTTTAAGAAAATGTACTAGATGGAGTTTGTGTTGAATGATTGTCAAGGATGGAACGAATAGATTTTTGTATAGTGTGATATAATCGGTTAAAATAAGTACCAATTTGTACAGTTTTATCATTTCAGAATGGCATTTATCAATTGTTGTTCCTTGTGAATAAATTTTTTACCAAAACTTGTTTTATTACTGAATACCTTAATCCTGGAGATTTCATATTTGCTTATGTATAACTGAAGATGTACAGATTTTTATACTTTTATGAAGATATTGGAAGAAGACAAAAGTCAAGTAAATTGTTTTAGGTTATGTTAGGATTTTAGTAAATAATAAATTACAAATTAGGAAGAACCAATGAGCAAATATAGCATAAAAGAATATATTTGGAGAACTTATCCAAACACCACGGAACTAAGTACAATTATATAATTGCTGGAAGCCAAAATGTAGGGCTTACCTCTGTACTGTCATTAACACTCTTAAGAACACTTCTTGTGGCCTCGACGATATTCTCTATATCTTTATAAAAAACTATCCAGCTTGGGTCACCTTAAACTTCTTAAAATGTTCAATTAAATCGACATCCAACAAATTTCTAAACCAGTGGAAAACCTCAATTATTATTATAATACCCGTTACAAATCCTAACATAGCTTGCTTGTCACCCTGTGCTTATAGACCAATGTCACTCACTTGCACCATGCGTAAAATCTTAGAAAAAATGATTAACAAAAGACTTATATGGTTCTTTGACAAATATAATTCCTAAAGTACACTCAGGATTTCAATGAAATTACTCAACTCGCAAACATTGTAGTAATTCTCCAAAGTCATATTTCTGATGCTCAGGCACTCTATACTGAACAAACTAACCCTACATAATATTAAGGGCAATATATTCAATTTTATACAAAATTTCCTATTATGAAGATCATGAGTCTCTCAATGGTATTTTTTTATCAGTCCTCACTCAAATCGGTAAGGTACCACAAGGATCAGTATTAAGCCCTACTCCTTTTAATCCCCTTCTCCATTAGGCATGTCCTGTATGCAGAAGACCTAATAATTTACTGCCACAGATCATCTATCTCTACAACTTCTAGGCTCATTCAATCCACAGTAGATACTCTCGTTAATAAAACAAACTATATGGGCTTATCATTATCATATACAAAATTCCAACAACCTCCCACCCCTTCTCCTAGTATAATGATTGATAAAGCTTGTTTTCCCGTTATCAGAGAATGTAAAGTACTCCACTTAATGTTTGATTCTCATCTTACCTGGAAGCAACATATATTAGAAATAAAGGGTGAAGTATGCAAAAGACTAAATATTGTCAAAACTCTTTGGCACATCATTGGAGTGAAGATGAAAATTCCCTTCTTAAGATAATATAGATCTCTTATTAGTTCCAACCTGAACTATGGTTCTTAAATATACACCTCTGCTTCTAAAATATACCTTAATCTTTTAAATTCGATACATAACACAGCTCCTCGTATTTATATAGGCACCTTTTGATCTAGCCCCATAGAAAACGTATATTACGAAGCAAATGAACCTCCTCTTTGGATTGGAGCAACTACTACTCTTCTACTCAGTATATATTACTTATAATCCTTCTAACCCAGTATCTTTTTGCATCATCTACAAATATACTGCAAGACCTCTCTAAATTACCATTATTAAAACCCCTCCCAGTAATTTTGACACAGTAACTTGATGACATATATCTATCACAAACAATTTCACCTCACCTATCCCCATATCCACCTTGGTCTATAGTCATTTGTCAATGTACACTTACAAAATATGATAAATTTACTACTCCCAATGAATTCATAAAAAGATTTAAAGAAATTATATTTACAAAGAAATACGATATAGTACTATACACTGATGTTTCAAAAAATGATTAGAAGTATGATATTCTGTTACAACATCACATACTCTTATCACATCATCCCATATCCCTTCCTTTTGCATATAGAGTATACTTTAAGCTATCCAATACATTTCACCAACAAATAAGATACTTATCTTTTAGATATATCTAAAAGACATTCAGTTATATTATAAAATATAATTTCATTGTATGATAACATTTTGTATATTGTAAAATTTTTTGTTTTACAATCGACATTGTGTAAGTGTCCTTAGTGGCTGAGCACATTAATTTTAAATAAAAAAAAATACCTTACTGATTTCTATATACTTCTATTCAATCAATAAAAATAAATTATAACCTATAAATGCTTAAAATACAAGACTTAATATACTGGAGCCGGTTGTTGTGTTGGTAGCAGATTATGTCTACTCTTCATTATTATCCTTTGCTTTGAATAACTATCCTCAGGAGAAAACCTAGCAGGGTGAGCAGACAATGTGGGCTTTCCTGTTGGATCTGTTTTCTAAAATGAGGAAATACCTTATTAAAATTGAGAACGGAAAGTAAACAAACACTTTACCTTCAGTGTGTAAACACGGGTTCCATCTTCGTTTAAGTAGTACATTAAATACATGTTTTTAAAAGATTGATTTGATTGTTCTTATAGCAAAAATACAAAATAATACAACACGTGTGTGACATGCGACATAAACTGACGACAACTCTAGATTAAGAAGTTAGGTTACGGTTCCCTTCTTCTTCTTTTTCAAACATGGGCGTAGAATGTTGTATTTGCAATTTTTGAGGCGCAGGAGACAATAAAATAAAAAATATAAAGTGTATACCGTTGGGAAAATACAATTTAAAAATGAAATTACTAAAAGCCTCTTTAAAATGAAAATTAACACCAAGATTTAGCATTAATTCATTCTAGTAATTCCGTTTTCTTTGTCCTTGGTTAGACACCATTGTTGTACATACGTAAGTTTAATTGATTAATAATACATTATAATAGCTAGTTTTTGCATCGAAAGTATTTTAGAAATAAGAAAAGCTTATAAATAAAAGATTTTAATATTATCTTTACTAGAAAAAATAAAAAAGTATGTCAGAAGTGGGATTCGAACCCACGCCCACAGAGTGGACCAGAACGCTCGCACACCCGTTAAAGCGGGCAAGGTATACCTTGAGTCTGGCGCCTTAGACCGCTCGGCCATCCTGACATATGAAATTAGTTTTCGAAAAATTAATTTCCGTCTGTTTACAGTGCAGGCGTCTATTGATTTTTAGAAAGACAAATATATTAATTATTTATACGAGTATATTCGGACAGAACGTGCAGATTCTATATTGTTAAATAGAAATAAATATATTAAAAACCAATATAATTTTACTCACTATGTAATAATTTCGTAAGACAATAAAAATAATGTGTTGAGAATTAAACAACTTAGTTTTGGTTAATATTATACAGCCAATCACTATGAATCTTCCCTTTAGTTATTAAGTTAAATAATTTTTATTTTAGATAGCCTTTTTACATAGATTTTATGTAAGCATTCAAAATCAATTAAAATCTGGTCCTGTTCAACTAGAAACATTTGACAGTATGTCAGGATGGCCGAGCGGTCTAAGGCGCCAGACTCAAGGTATACCTTGCCCGCTTTAGCGGGTGCACGAGCGTTCTGGTCCACTCTGTGGGCGTGGGTTCGAATCCCACTTCTGACATTAATTTTTGATAATATTTATATTTGATTATAAACCGGTACAATGAAAGAAGAAACTTTATGGATAAATAATATATTGTCTATTTTTTTATATATGTATCTGCTAATATGCTCTACAAACATCACTCATTTCACTGAAAACATCTTCATCCTCACTTTCTTCTTCTAGCCCGTCGAGATCTTCTGGATCAACTTCTGACATACACTCATTACGGTTCCTCCTTAAATACTTCCTTATGACGACATGTTGTTCTGGTGTTATATCTGTCATTCGCGTGTCCATCCATTCCAAAGTTGTGTTATGTTCTAAATATTCAATCAGCATCTAAAGGAAAATTACTAAAGTGAGAATAAATAATGTTTTGTTATAACAAAAAGTGAATAAGAATTGTTTATTCGTATTTCTACAAGTAAAAATTTGTATAAATATCTACTTCTATAGTCTTTTCTATTTCAATGGTCCTGTCTTTCTGGCAGGGAACGTTGTCAGTTAACACGCCGGTCCTTGTACCTCTTTTGGTTTGAGTAATGTCGTAGCTACGACTTCATATTTACTCGAAAAGTTGATGAAGTCTTCTTGTTTCGACGTCCTTGACAAAAATTCGTTGCTTAAACGTTCAGTCCCGGGTGGCATCAATATGATGCCTCAGGAAATAGTGCTCTTGGGACCGTGAGGCATCACTCTAATGCCACATTATAGTTTTGTATTCGGAACACCGTGGCATCAACTATGCCCAACAGCTATATAAATTACTTTGTAAGTTGGGCAGGGTGGTCCAAGGAGCAAAATACCAAGGAGCAAAATAATATTTCCTGATCGGATGTGAGATGGTTTGTACGAAATATATGGAAATTAAAAAACTTTATAAAAAAAAATAAAAGATTTTATTCAGAATGTGCAAAAATATTTATAATATAAAACCTTATTATTTTAAAACAGCATTATGTGTTGAGAAAAAACAAGAAATACAATAATGTTTTTGCATTGGTTGCACAAAAATTTAGAACGAGAAGACTTGTTTTAAGCTTCCTTCCGCCCCAATTCATTCTTCATTTTGACGTAGCAAACCACACATCTGTTTTTTCTTCCTTCTACAAGCTCATTACTGCCATTGGTGTTATCGTTGATATTAGTTTCAATAGCGGACATTTCACCCAGTAGTTCTCTAGCGACTTCTGTTTTGAACTCTGCTATAGTCAATTTAGTTTGTGTAACCTGTGTATGTACCGGGTGGTCCAATAAGCCGATCGCTCGGCTATATATCAGAAACTATTCATGTTATAACTTGGGGAGAAAAAATTCCTTAGTAAAAGTGACCAAAAGAAATCGCTGGAAATAACTTTCAAGTTTCTGGGTTAACCGCTAGGGGGCGTAACCTGTGAAGAAAAATTTGAAAACCAGTTTTTTGTAAAATATGCCCAATTATACCAAGTGTTAAATAAGTGAACTAGAAAGAGGGCTAAATTCCGCACAAAGTTGTTCAAGTACTTTTTTTTTATTTTTTCAAATAAAGGGTGGATGAGGGTGGCAAAGTATTTGTGGATAAATATCTATAACTTTGGTTTGGATCAACCGATTTTAACCAAATTAGTGTCATTAGAAAGAGTGTCGATAATTTAATCTACATCTACTATAAAACAATTGCATTTAATCTTAATTGTCATGGGTAGAGGGTACTTTCAAATAGAAAAAATTAAAATTTGTTTTTCTTTAAAATGTTTAATGGAAACACCTATTTATTGTTAATTATAACTGAACTGGATTAAATTCGTAACAAAATGGCACAAACCGCATGTTGATAGCTTTTGTCAAACTCGAGATATGAATAAAAACGCATAAACATAAGTATAGTATTGACTCACCCTGTATTATAAATTAAATTAAAAAATAAGTCAGTAGGTCAGTAGTAAGCCGAGCAATCGGCTTATTGGACCACTCGGTACAATATAAGCATTCACCAAGGCACTACCAAACAAAAATTCTGTGGCTAATTTTCTGTACCATTTATTATTAACTCATCTCAAGCAATGTGAATACGCTTTTTGCTGACCTGAGAGATCAATAAAGGATTTTAAATCATTGTAATCAACAATCATTTTGGGCTTTTCAATCTCTTTGCCTTTGTGTAGACGTTTCAACATTTCATCCCCATGCTTTGTACTAATCATCAAGACATTCCTTTTGTCACACCATTTTAACATTACAACTCTAGAATTACTTTGTAGGGCAATTTTTTTATTTTTTTTAGTTTTTTCTTGACAACCCCGGGACAATTCATTTTTCTGTTTAACCGAACAGTGCCTGCAATGTGAGTTGTACGGCTGAGCAATGTATGAGCAATGGTGACGCTCATATAATAATTATCTGTGAAGAGAGTATGACCACTATCTATCTAACAACCCTTCCACAAGTGATATAACAACAGATAAAGAGGCATTTTGACCACCCTGACTTTTTTTTTCACAGTAAATTTTGAGGTCATAAGTGTAGCCGTTTTCTAAGCAAAGATTATATAATTTGATACCGAATTTGTGTTTTTTATTTTTGATATATTGTTTGAATTTCAAGCGACTACAATAAGGTACCATCGTCTCGTCAATACAGACATTTTCTTCTGGAGTAACAATTTGCTGAAATCTAGAAATAAGTTTTTGAACCAACGGAGATATTTTGTGAAGCCGATCAAAATCCGGTGAGTTTGGTTGTGGCGCTGTTTCATTATTGTTGAAGTGAATATTTGAAAGTAATTGCTCAAAACGATTTCTATACATTTTGTGTCTTATATTGGTAACAAATAAGTAATTTCTGCTCAAATAGTAGCGTAATCGTGGTACTTTTAGCAATCCCATCCATATAGTTACCCAAAGAATATTTCCATTTCTTTTCTTGTAGTTGGTATCCAACGTTTACAATTAGATTTGGCTACAACAGGTCGGCCATTTATCTGTTGATCTGCGTATAAATTCGTTTGATCAACTATATAATCGATCAAGTCATTAGTCACAAATAGTTTGCAAAAGAAATAAGGAGTTTCTTGATTAGTTACAATAAATAGAGAACCAGTAATAATTTATGTAGAATCTGACAGTTCTGTATATTATTAAGCAAGTGCTGTGACCAAATAATATAACCATATGTAATTTTGTACGTACTTCCCCTACAAGTCTATTGCGGAAACAGAAACAGGGACAAAATAATCTGTAAAGTCTATAACATAATAAAAATACCGATATTTATCCTATATGTTGAAAAAAAAAGATAGAAAGATTGATTGAGAATAAATAGGGAAAAAGTGAGACTCAGAGAAAAAGAAATAGCACAAAGAATAATAATATACGAAAAGGTAACGAAATGGAGCGAAAGAGAGAAGCGCAAGAGATATATGCACAGGGAAAACATTTACAGGCATAGAAAAGAAACAGTAAGTATGAAAAGTATGAGAAAAATGGAAATACTATATATTTTTTAATTAAATATTTCATCACTGTATGAATAACATTTATACAAAATAGCACCTCTCCACCTTCTTTTCCGAACCAATTGCTGCTCACGTCCAACACTTTAAGCGTATCATTCCATTTTAACATCTTGCTAAGTTTGTCCGGTGTTTCACAACCAAATTGGCATGTACTCAATGATAGCTCTTTCGGAACAGCACATCTCACTAGCGCTCTCAAGATGCCCATGACTCCCTCATGCTTTAAGGGATTTAGTGTTAGGATTAAAGTTTCTAAAGGTGGGCATGAATTTTGACAGAGAGCGAAACCTGAAAAAAAAAACGAATACAGTTATAATATCATCTTTGTGGCACAAATACAAAAAACTTACTATGGAGTAAAAATTTTTACGTAAAATAGTATAAATTTAAAAATTATATATATCCACAATCGAATTATAAATTTTCAGAACGTTTTGAGTCCTATCGGACCATCACATGTTAAGAAATTTATGTGTGAAATCTTGTAATTTGGGATGGCAATTTTAATAACCACAACGGCATTATATAACCAGAAAATAAATGGTATTAAAATATATATTATACAGGGTGTAAAAAAGGTAACCCCGCCTCTAGGGTAGGTAAAAAACTGAAAAATAATTAGGGTTTACTTAGTAAAAAATTTTTGTAACGCCATCCGTTTTCAAGATACAGGGCATTGAAGAAAAAAAATTTTGACGCATTTTAATAATTAGCGTAATTACGCGTAATTTGGGATGGCAATTTTAATAACCACAACGGCATTATATAACCAGAAAATAAATGGTATTAAAATATATATTATACAGGGTGTAAAAAAGGTAACCCCGCCTCTAGGGTAGGTAAAAAACTGAAAAATAATTAGGATTTACTTAAAAAAAATTTTTGTAACGCCATCCGTTTTCAAGATACAGGGCATTGAAGAAAAAAAATTTTTACGCATTTTTTACGATTTTGCCGAACTACTGGCAACATTGTAATGAAATTTTATACGAATATGTTTTGGAAGCTGATACATCCCTAATAAAAATTTCAAGTAAACTTAAACATCATTCAATTTTACACGAAAAAGGTACTCTTGGTAAAATTGGATACTGTGTACCGTTTTCGGAATATTTTGATTTGAAAATTCTGAAGTAATAATTGATGCTGGTAGTAATAATAAAGTTCTAATAGGTATACCTCTATTTTCTCCAAGTGTGCCATGGAAATCTGACATTTATTGATTGTTAAGACGATAAATCAACAATAATTAGAGTTTTGAAACCTTGTTATTTGTAAAATCAAATCAAAATGTACTCAAATGTTGAATACACTGACAAGTTATTAACCTTAGGCGAATGTTTAGGATGTTCTAGTGCAGCTGTGAGACGTTATGCAGAAAAGTTTCCTAGAAGAAACTTACCAAGTGAAAAAACATTTAGAGCCGTTGAACGACATTGTCGAGAAACTGGGAATGTGAGACCAAATAAAATAAATTCTGGTAGACCAAGAACAACAAGAACAATTAATAAAGAAAATAATATTTTAAATTTACTTGATCAAAATCCAACAGTTAGCGTAAGGAATATAGCAAGACAAACAAATACTTCTTCTTCAAGTACTTGGCAGATACTGAACGAACATCAATTACATCCTTATCATTACAGACAAGTCCAAGAGCTCTTGCCAGATGATCTACCGGTTAGAGTGGATTTTTGTGAAACATTGCAACAAAGGACAGCCCAAAATCCAAATTTTTTAAAATGCATTCTTTTTACGGACGAGGCCACCTTTACGCGACAAGGTATGTTTAACTCCCATAATGCACACTACTGGTGTGATGAGAATCCACGAGTCAAAAGGGTATCACATTACCAACACTCATTTAAAGTTAATGTTTGGGCAGCAACTTTAGGTAACAAATTAATAGGTTATCATATTCTACCTGGAAATTTAAATGGTGATATGTATCTTAATTTTTTAAACAATTCCTTATTCGAGATAGAATATTTAACGCTAAACGAGCGAAGATCTTTATTTTTTATGCACGATGGAGCTCCACCATACTTTGATAGAAGGTGTCGTAATTGGTTGAGTAATCATTTTCCGAATCGATGGATTGGTAGAGGTGCAGAAGTTCTGATTCATTGGCCTCCTCGTTCATGCGATTTTAACCCTTTGGACTACGCAGTTTGGTCGTATATTAAGGAAAAAGTCTATGCTACAGAGGTAAATTCACGCCAAGAATTTGAAAAAAGAATTCAACGTCAATTTAATGACACCATAGCTGATACTCTGCCGTTTAGAAGGTTAATGGAATCTTTAGAAAACTTGTGTATTCGCGAAAACGAAGAGTATTTTGAACACTTACTGTAATTGAATTTTATTTTATGTTCTTAGTCATTAATTTAATTTTCTTCTTGTGAGTTTTGTTTAATTACTAACTATTTTATACCAGCAGCAATTATTACTTCATAATTTTCAAATCAAAATATTCCGAAAACGGTACACACTATCGAGTTTTACCAAGAGTACCTTTTTTATGTAAAATTGAATAATGTTTAAGTTTACTTGAAATTTTGATTAATATTTATACTCTTATAAAAGTTATATTGACTAATACTTAGTACGATCCGTGTAATTAGCGCCCTCTATGAGAATCAGATATAAAAACAAATTCATGGGATGTATCAGCTTCCAAAACATATTCATATACAATTTCATTACAGTGTTGCCAGTAGTTTCGGCAAAATCGTAAAAAATGCGTAAATTTTTTTTTCTTCAACGCCCTGTAACTTGAAAACGGATGGTATTACAAAAATTTTTTACTAAACAAACCCCAATTATTTTTCAGTTTTTTACCTACCCTAGAGAGAGGGTTACCTTTTTTTTGAAACACCCTGTATAATATTATTATATGTTTCGCAAATAAAATATTTTTTTGTCTTACAAACAACATTAAATTTTTGATTTCCATGAAAACTATTTCTGTGGACTTAGATTATTTTTCCCCATGACTTTTCATATAAGGGATTTAATATTGTATATTTACCTATTCCTTCAGCTCCAATTTGACCAATCAAATTATTTGTCAAAACCAATTTCCTCAATAATTGATGATTCATCAAAAATTTTGCGATACACAAAGCACCTTGATCGCCAATTTTGCAGTTCGACAAGTCAAGTTCAACTATAGTTTTGTTTTTAATTAGGTTTTGCATGAGGGCTTGGCAATGCCTGTCTTCGATATTGCTTCTGTGAATTCGCAGTATTTTTAAGTTCTTCAAATCAAGAATGGCTTTGCCGAGACGTTGGCAGTCCAAGATTGTTATTTTAAACATGTTCCAGTTGAAGTCTTCTTTGACATCGTTCATACCTTGAATAATACAGTATTTTTCAGTTTAACGTTAGAAATTAACTTATTGTGAATGAGGGTCGATGCCAGATAATTTATTGGATTTCACAAGACATATCATATTATAGTGTGAGTGGCAATAACAATGTCCCCCTTTTAAAAAGTCATGTGTGAACTTCAAAATTAAATTATTATCGAAAATGCTCAATATGGTAATTTTTTTTAAACAAATTGCTTTACAAAAGATCAATAACATCGATAAAGGCATTGTGAAAACAAAATTGACAATGGACAAAAAGCAACGTGTATAAAGCTGTTTTTTTTTTATGAAAACTTACTGAAACCAGCTAGATTTCCAGTATTTCCCAACCCTTTTTGTGCTATGTCCCACCTTATCCTTTCTAAAATTCTGAAGCCCCCCTATTGGAACATACACAGATAACGGTTGCATCTCGAGACGATGATCTATCTGTGTTAGAGAATTCTCACGATCTATCGACCGGCGGACAGATCGTAGCGCTAATAGAAGCGAAAGTAGAGGTGGACTATTCCAGATTATTCTAGAACATAATAACTTGTATACATAAGCTGCGCTGATATTAGTTTGAGTTTACTTATTAAGCTATTATTGTCCTGTAAACTTATAAATAAATATATTTACATAAATTAGAACCGCTCGTTTTATTGGTAAAACGCTACAGTTGGTGTTACGGTGTGAAGTATTTAGTGAAGTTATTTATTTAAAAATAAATTCAGCAGTGACTTTTATAAAGTATTGTTTTAAAGATATACATAAGAACATTTAAACAAGTACACAAAGCAATACACAAAGCACCTTGATCGCCAATTTTGCAGTTCGAAAAATCTAGTTAGAGAACCAAAGATGCGGCTTGCAGAACTATCAGTAAAACAGTTACGTGAACAACTAGAAGAAAGGAATGAAGACTGCAGCGGGTTCAAAAAGATCCTTCAAAAACGACTAAAGGATGTTCTCAACAAGAATGGAGATGGCCCAGAGACATTCCAGTTCCAGTCAGCAGAAGAAGCTGTTTTAACGAAAATAAATAAGAAATTTGAAAATGTTTTTCAATTGATGGAAGAAACTTATAGAAGAACAATAAGAAATTTAAAGAAGTTTCTAGAACATTTGATGAAGATACTGAAAAGTGTAAACGACATAGAAGAGAAGATCTAATAGGTAATACATGACTATGATAACCGATACAAAAGTGCTAACACTAGTTAATGCAGTAGTTTTAGATCCTGTAGTAAAAAAAGAATTCCCGAGAGACGAAACGACACATCATATGACATTCAAATTGTTCCCATTTGATGGGAAGTCTTCTTGGTGCATATACCTAAGACAATTTGAAGCTACTGCGACAGCCCATTGGAGAGAACAAGAAAATGCTGAGTCCTTGACTGCTGCTTTACGAGGCGATGCTGGGGATATCCTAAGATCGATTCCTAAGGGTCAATAAAAATGTTACCAGAGCTTGTTCACTCGGCTAGACAAACGTTACGGAGATGCCCATCTACAACAAGTCTACAAATTACAAATAAGAAGTAGACTTCAACGAGCAAGGGAAAGTTTACAAGAATTTGAAGCAGATGTTGCTCGTATACCGCTGTTGGCTTATCCGGAGGCACCAGACAACATATTGGCAGAAATTGTTCTAGATACCTTCATCAATGGGTTGAGAGACAGTGAACTACAGAAAGCTTTACGACTAGCAAGACCAAAATTTTAGATAAAGCGCTCGCAATTGCCTTGGAACACGAAACAGCTAGTTAAGCTTCACAGAGCTATCGAGTACGAACTTTTGAAGAGAGCGACGAACAAAATGATAAGCGCCTGGAAAAAATTGTACTGAAAGTAGTTCGTAACACGATGCCGAAGAAACGTGAACCCCGTTGAAAATTGTAAGAAAATAATATAACAATCAGAAAGCCAGCAAATATCAAATATTGGGCTGGAAAAAGTCATTCAAATGCTGATGCACAGTCAATGCAGTGCAAATTGTAACCACTGTCTTAAATTAGAAGGACTTTGCCACGTGAGACGAACCACCGTCATTAATGATCAATGGCAGCCTCAACAGGTACAAGACGTCCAAGCAGATAATCCGTGTATAAAAACAGTATTAGATTCTATCCGTCGAAGTGAAAGACCTTCTTAGCAAGGCATTAGTACATGTAGTTCAAAAGTCAAGTCTTACTGGAGCTAATGGAATTGCCTAATACTAAAAGATGATCTTCTGTAAAGAAACTTTGAGAACGATGATGGTACAGAATCTAAGCTTCAGTTGATTGCACCTAAAAGTAAAAGCAAAGATTGTAATTTGGTATTACGGGGACTCTGCAAAAGGTTCGAGAACGGTTCTATTGGGTGAACTGTAAAGATGATGTAAGAACACCGTGCCGGAAATGTGAACTGTGTGCAACTAGTAATGGTTCAGTTGGTCCTATGAAAAACGTAGCAATCGACATTGAAGGTCTATTTCAGAAACGAATGATGGAAATAAATATATCCTGGTAGCCATGGATTATTTTACGAAATGGACTGAGGCCTATGCGATACCTAGTCAAGAAGCTGCTACTGTTGCAGAGGTACTTGTTAAAGAAATATTTAGCCGATTTGGTGTTCCCTTCCTAAATCCTCTTCCAAACGTTTGTAAATTGATTGGTGACAATAAAACCAGAACGATACCTCTGCATCCTCAATCAGATGGAATGGTCGAGAGGATGAAATACAACGTCGTTGAGGCTTCCTTCTTAAACTGCAAAGACAATGGAAAGGTCCGTATAAAACTAAAAAGGAAATAAATGACGGAATATAGCCAATTAAGAAGTTGCCTAAAGGTAAACCAAAAGTAGTTCACGTAAATCTTCTTGCACATTATGCTGGCTCAAATAAAACAGAAGAAGCACGAATCCTTCAACATGAGATCAAAGATGAACAGTGACCAAGCTTTAATGAATTTATGTCAAATTATGCAGAGATGTAGAGTGCTATATTCGGTGTGACCACAGAAGTTTAGCAGGATCTTTTTAGTGTTAAGCATAACGTCTCTATAGCCTACTGTGTTGCCAAAGACTTGAAATGACTAAAAGAATCTCGTCCGTTTTCTATAAGAAGTTCGGTCGTTTGGACGAGTTAAAAAATCAGCAACCTAAAGTTGGAAGAGTACTGAGATTAGAAGATGATCCTCGATCTTTGCTGCATATGATGACCAGGAAGTCGTATAGAGACAAGGCAAGCTACGAGGATATGTGTGCTCTAACTATTTTGAAGAAAATTGTGAGCAATTATGACATCAAGAATTTGGTCTTACCCAAGATAGACCATGCAGTAGAAAATCTGGTTTGGAAGATTGCCAGAAGCATGCTTGAAGTGATATTCCGAGAAACCAGCGAACGAATTACTGTGTGTTGCATTAACATTAAACCGAAGAGATCGTATCCTTAAAAGTCAGTAGACTGTTATGGTTTATACAGAGCTGTCAGAGAGTCCTGTAGATTCCGCCATCCTGGACCTTCATGTAAAGTTGCTGATCGGGACGCTCAGATCTAAGAGGAGTAGTGTAACGAACATGCTTATTTCTATCGACCGGCGGAAAGATCGAAGCGATATTAGAAGCGAAAATAGAGATGGACTATTCCAGATTGTTCTAGAAAATAATAACTTGTATATATATATATATATATATATATATATATATATATATATATATATAAAGGTGCGTTGATATTAGTTTGAGTTTAGTTGTTAAGATATTATTGTATTATAAACTTATAAATAAATATATTTTACAAATAAGAACCGCTCGTTTTATTGGTAAAATGCTACAATATTCAAAAACTGAATTGTTCACTTTAGAAACAGCTTTTACTTTTTTATAGATAGCTTTTAGAATGAAATCACTAGGAAGTTGTTAACGAAAGACAGTAAGTAAATCTTTAAAACATATAACGAAAAACTGAAATTCAAATTCCAAATAATTTGAATAAAGATTTTTCTATATATAAACCATTTTGTTTATTTATTTATTTTAGAGAAGTTTCCTAACCCCTTTTGTGTTTATTTTTTAGGAAGGAAGGTGTGTGTGGAAGGAATGTTAAGGAAAAATAATGTGATTAAATTACAATTCGGTTCGTACTATGGGCTAGAAAATTTCATTGAGTTTTCTAAATGATAATTAAAAAAGGACTCTTTGACATTATAAAGAAATAACATTAATCAATGAAAGCGTCAGTATACGTCCCTTTGAAGTAAACACGTGGATAAGTCCCTTATTTTGGTTCTACAGCCTTTGAAAGATGTACTCGCTCTACTAAATCCGTTTTAATAAAATAAATCAGCTAATAATAATCAAGTCCTTAAGCAATTTCTTAATTACAGCAGTATATGTGTAATTGACGAATTTTAATTACTTGTACCTGACAAATAATAAAATCAAGTCAATTTAATTACATTCAAAAGACTGCGTTACAAGGTAATATTCGATTTCTACAAGATTTGCGCCCAAATTGGAGAAACAAATTGAAATTTTATGGAATTCTATTCGACATCCGTCCTCGGAGGCGGAGATTGATTTTCAGTTGTATAAGTATGAGGAGGGCAAGAGACATATTAACATTAATTTTCTGCTGTGGGTTGTCAAGTATTATTACTCATATCAACATATACATTTTTTTTAATTTCGCCAGTAAATTCCATCCAGTTCCTTGGTGGAACCATGAATGCAAACTAGCAATACAACAATCCAAAAAAACTTTTAATAACTTCAAACGACAGAAAAATGAACAAAACTTTAGAATTCACACGACTACGAGCTATATCCAGATTAACTGGAGCTTGGATAACATACGTTTCAACAATTGACAGTTCTATTCCAATGACAACTGTATAAAAAAAGTAAAAAGAATATCTGGTACAAAATCACACAAGTCGATAAATCTGCTAGAGCAAAATAATGTAATATATAAGTCTCAAGGAAATATCAAATATACTGGCATTAGGTTATAAAAAAATCGATGCAAACTATCCACCAAATTGCTTAAAGAACAAAAGAAACAAAAAAAAAATATACCATAGACTATGAAGATCAAAATAACAGTGAAATAAACTTTCCAATATCGATGGATGAATTAGACACGATAATGAAAAACTGTAAGAACTAGTGCCCTGGACCAGATAATATACCAACTATTTTTCTAAAAAACCTCACCTACCCATCTAAAGAATACTTACTCAGCATGTACAATCTAATATTCTAGAAAAATGTATTTCTAGAATCCTGGAGAAATTCAATAATAATTCCTATTGCTAAACAAAGTAAATCAAAATCAGATCCCGAAACGTATAGGCCAATATCTCTTAGGGCGAGCGCCCACCAAAGTGACGTGGCAAGTAGCACGTAGCAAGTAGCACGCGTCTAGCATGTTTCTTAAAATGTAACCAATGAAAACGAATGATTAGAATGAATGAAGTCACTGTCATTTTGGTGTACGCTGAATCATTCGTTTTCATTGGTTACATTTTAAAAAACATGCTAGACGCGTGCTACTTGCCACTTGCTACGTGCCACTTTGGTGGGCCCTCTCACTTACATGTACTATAAGTAAAATGCTAGAGAAAATAATAAATAACAGACTCATGTGGTATCTGAAATCAAAGAAACTAATTATATCAGAACAAAGTGGCTTCCGAAAGCGTCGTTCTACTGTAGACAACCTTATTGATATAGAATCGAAAATACATGAGGCGTTTACAATTAAACAACACTGTATTGGAATATTTTTCGACATTAGTAAAGCCTACGATTCAGTATGGAAATATTCAATTTTAAAAACGCTCAGTGAATGGAAAATAAGAGGTAATAGAGTCAAATACATATCAAACTTATTAAAAAATAGACAATTTCAACTCAGAGTAGACAGCGTATATTCCTTAGCGAATTAGCTTAAGCCTTAGCTCGAACCTTAGCACTACTCTTTTTTTTGTAGTTATGAATTCTATTACCGCAAAAATGAAACTTCATGTAAAAGCTAGCCTATATGCAGATGATTTAGTTATACTTTGTAGAAGAAAGAACTTAACAACCATCCGTAACCATGTCCAAAAGGCCATAAATCATATTGAAGAACGGTCATTCACAAGTAGTCTTCAGTTCAATACCCTCAAAACAAAAGCAGTATGTTTTAGGAAAAGTCACCAAATACAACCCAAGAACTTATATTTAAATGGAGGACAGCTTAAATATGTAGACGAAGTTAGATTCATTGGTATGAACTTGGACCAAACACTAACTTGGAAGATAAATTTAGAATATTTAAAAAATACATGTTAGCCTGGAATAAATTTGTTACGATCACTCGCAAACAAAAAATGGGGCGCTGACTCTTCTACATTACTACATATCTACAAGGCATTAGTACGTTCCAAACTGGACTACGGTTCAATTTTTTACAACTTCTCCAAACAACGTACTTAAGAACAATAGATGTTATTCAAAATACGGGTCTTCGAATTTCTTTAGGAGCACACCACACTACTTCCACTACTAACTCAAACGCAGAAGAGAATACGAAATCTCTTCACACCGACCTGAAAGCATTCTTTAAAGAAAATATTAATTCCATATGGCAGGATACATGGAAGAACTCCCCAACCAAGCTGTACGAAGTTAATTAATCATCAAAAATTTCTAAAATTTAAATATAGATCAAAATAAAAAAGAGAATAAGTTACAAATCATGAATGTGTTGCTTGTGTGAGTCCATTTCAAATAGGTAAAGAAATAATAAATAAGACTTACTCACAATCAATTTAATTTAACTATCAGACGACCGGTTTCGGTTTCTACAATATGCAAAGCATCTTCAGGTCTCGATACAAAGTTATATAAATGCTGAAATGATAAAAACCCATATTAGGGTGTTGTCTAATAAAGATAAACAAATTAGATGTTGAAAATTACAATAATTATGCCAATATTACATGTCTGTGGTTTTATTTCAAAATGAGTAAATTGAATAATAAGGTGTAAAAAGTTTTAAAAGTTTAGACAGACAAGGTAAGACCCACAAATTGTTATAAAATAGTCTATTAGATTGTAATAAATTAATAAATGAGCAAATAAATAAACATTACTTACATGCCGGTACTCTATTAATTGATGGATGGTAGAACATGGTTGAAACTACTGTGTATTGTTGAATGGAGAACTCAATTCTGCTATTGTAGTTGTTTAACAGTAAACGGGAAGTTCTTGAGAAGATAGATTTGATCCAATGAAGCAGAGATATGTGTGTGATTGTTTGTTAAATGGAAGTGATGTTATATTCCATTGTATTAATTAAAAGTTAATTAACTTTAATTTGTTCAGTAATTTGGACTAAACTGAGTTAGTTATAATGTGGGATGTATTTCAATTATTCGTATTGTTACATTTAAATTTAATTAATTAAAGATTGTTAAAGTATGCCAATATTAAACACATCAATTTACTTTTGATATCTTAATTGAAACAATTTATAGACATTCATTAATATCAGCATATTTCATGAAACTAGATAACTTAACTTGCAGTATTGAGAAACAGAAGAAGAACTGTCACATGCTAACCTACATCTGTCAAATTTACCACTAAAATCTAATAGATAACATAAAAAACTGATTGTGCCCAAGACTGAGATGTAGTGCATTAAAGTCCTTCCCCTTTTAAATTTAATGTTTGTTTCGTCCCTTCTAAGTGTTTTCTGTTTTAGTGTGTTTTAAATTGTCCTTAAATGTTTTAATTCTAATATTTTATTTACTCGACTTTGCAATAATCTACTATTTGCCAATAGAACTTTATCAAAGAAATTTGATAATTACAAGTTGAAAAATAATTGCACACTCACACAATTTGTACATCTAAACTTATTCATTGTCATAAAACTGTCACTTCATAAAACAATTACTCAATAAATAACACACATTTCATAAATATATCTCTCGAATAAGTATAAATAACTTTTAAATAATACAATGGTATATAATATCACTTTTATTTAACAAACAATCACACACATATCTCTGCTTCATTGGATCATATCTATCTCCTCAAGAACTTCCCGTTTACTGTCAAACAACTATAATAGCAGAATTGAATTCTCCATTCAACAATACATAGTAGTTTCAACCATGTTCTACCATCCAACAATTAATAGAGTACCGGTATGTAAGTAATGTTTATTTATTTGCTCATTTATTAATTTATTACAATCTAATATACTATTTTATAACAATTTGTGGGTCTTACCTTGTCTGTCTAAACTTTTAAAACTTTTTACACCTTTTTATTCAATTTATTCATTTTAAAATAAAACCACAGACATGTAATATTGGCATAATTATTGTAATTTACAACATCTAATTTGTTTATCTTTATTAGACAACACCCTAATATGGGTTTTTATCATTTCAGCATTTATTTAACTTTGTATCGAGACCTGAAGATGCTTTGCATATTGTAGAAAGCGAAACCGGTCGTCTGATAGTTAAAATACATTGATTGTAAGTCTTATTTATTATTTCTTAACCTATTAGAATAAGGTACCTTCACTCGCCTCCGGATTGGTCATAGTTAACACACGACTACCTACTAAAACGCACTGATAAACCTGTTTGTGACATGTGTAAAAGTTTCTTAATGGTAAAACATTGTTTATTGCAGTGCCCCAAGTATGATGTGCAACGCAAAATGTATAACATACCATCAACATTAAATAGAGCTCTTGGAAAAGACAGTGATATCAAAAATCTAATATTTTACTTTGTGTAGATTTAGGTTTATTTCTATTTATGTATTGCTATGGTTAATATTTTATTGTTAAGTTCTAACTTTGTATCACAGTCCATCCACACTAATAACCTTACGTGGTTAATGCGTCGTGTAAGAAAAAAATATACATTTTCGGAGATTTTTGAATATGTTCTACAAAGAGAATTTAATACCATTAATTCATAATCTTCATATATCTATGATATATGAAGAAAGTAGCAGACAAATAAAATTTGGCTTCATGAAAGGTTTAGTTATCAGAGAGGCTGTTTTTTATTATCTCCCAGAAGAAAATATTAAACAAAATACTATAATACATTCATCAATATTAATTTAAATTATACTGTCAAGTTAAATAAAATTAAATGTATGTTGTCAGTTTTAATAAGGCAACATTACTTTACCAAACACTATATCAAACTCTTCGACAAGCGGCAGCTTAGGCGTTATAAAAATAAAATTAATATGGTCAATAGGCCACACATCTGGAATATCTTCTTTGTCGGCCGTTAAGGGAGGTTTCCAAAGCTGCAACTGTGTGACAAAAATTCTTTTTACATAAGGAGCGCACAGCTCTAAGATTTCCATATCTTCTTCATCCGCGTATTGGGGTTCTGCATTCTCTATAAGTCTCTGGACTTCTCGTTCGATATAGAGATGTTTCCAAGTCCATGGGTATGGTTTGCGCCGAGTGATTTTGCCAAAGTGGTCATTGTATCGGCGCTTCCAGTAATATTCGTCCTTAAACAAATTAATAAAGGTGAAAATGATAGGAATTTTAATTATCAACTACGTTGAGGTAGTTCCTATAAAGTAAGTAGGAACTGAAAAAAATTTGAGTCTGTTCTAAAGCTCTCGAAGATATAGACTTCGAAGAAGAGGTAGAAAGAACCGCTAGAAGATTAAAGAGAAGAAAGGGCAGAGTAGGGATAATGCACACATTTCCCAAAGAAATAAAAGAACTAATAAAGCTAACAAACGCCAAAAAAGCCCCAGGACCCCACAACGTCACAAACAAGGCACTAAAAAATCTACCCACAAAAGCTAAGTTTACATTACTAACATTATAAACAACATGCTCAAGCTAAGATATTTTCCAGACAGATGAAAGGAGGCACAAGTCATCATGATTAAAAAGCCATAAATAGGGGCAACCCTATCCGAAGTCGGGACCCTGGAAGCAGGTGTGCCTCAGGGAGCTGTGCTATCGCTGTACACCATCTACACGGCCGACACGCCAAAAGAACCAGGATCCCTGATGAGTCTTTACGCTGACGACACTGCAATAGCTGTTAGCTGGAGAAACCCAGATCATGCAGCTAATCAACTGCAGAGAGCACTAAATAGATTCCAAAGATGGTGCATAAAATGGAAAATAGCCCTAAACCCGGACAAAACACAGGCTGTAATGTTTAGTCACAGAAGAAGTGTACCAAACCGAGAAATTACGATTGGTAACACCCCAGTAGAATGAACCAACGAGCTAAAATACCTAGGGGTGCTGCTAGACAAGAAACTGACGTTCACCCAACACATAAATCAACAAACATACAAAGCCAAAGCGCTGAAAAGTCAGCTCTCAACGCTCATTGGACGAAGAAGCAAACTGAGATTCAAAACCAAAATCAGGATTGCGAATAGTATCATCCTACCAGTTCTATCGTATGCCTCTGCTGCGTGGGGACATACCTGCAAATCCAACAGGAAAAAATATAGGCAACGCAAAACCAAATAATTAGAGATGCCCTGAAGTTACCAAAATATGTACCTCTGAGAAATTTATACAGAGACACAGGACAAACAAGAATCCTACATATGCTAGACAAGAGAGCACACGAGCTATTCAACGGACTAAACAACCACCCAAGCAGTATGTTAAGAGAGCTGACCAACTACAACGCAAACACCAGGATGGTACACAGAAGACCTAAACAGCAGATAGCTGGATATAGGGGGATCCCAAACGAATAAATAAAGAATGAGATGGTCGCAAAGTTATCAAACAAGAAGAATGCAGCCAATCAGAAAACAACCCCCAAAAAAAAAACTCCGGCGAGAGGATACGCTTTTTAGGTTTGTAGGTTATTAGGTTTAGGACTCTGGCGAGAGGATACAGGTGCCAAGGCATTTAGGTAAGAACAATATACACGGGGTGTGTGAAGGCGCTATACACCCTGGAATGCACACCCCAATACACCCACACACCATAGTATTAGGAAAAAGGGTAAGAATTGTTGCCAGGCATGTTATAGTCCCGAAGCAACAAGGAAGAACCCCAAAACCCAAAAAAAAAATAAATCAGTTGTTTTTTTGATAATGTTACGTAATTCACAAACTTAAATTCTTTTCACCAAACGTTTTAACGTAAATTAATTCACTCGTTTTCTGTATAGAAGGCCCGTCAGGCCTTCTATATACCGCAGCTGCGGACTAGGCCCTTAAGGCGGATCAAATGAATACTGATCTACTCGCGACACCCGAGCACTGAGGTCATGTGCGGCAAACATGGGCTTGGTGGCCGGACCATTCTCGGGCGCCCAGCCGGCGAGGAGAACAAAATTTATTTTGCCAAATCGGCGGCTGAGTGACCGAGCACACACTCTTTTCCGGACATGGAGTCGCCAGCTCAGGCTGGCGGCTCCATGGACGGAACACACGCTTTTTTTCCTTTTCTTTTAGCGACTCAAGTCCCGATGTGATGATAGAGTAAAATCAATAGAGTCAGTAAAGTAAATAGGGAGAAAAGCCTAGAAGTGGCTGCCCCTACAGTTAAGTGGCATAACCACAGTCAATAAAAACAGAAGGTGTCTCATTACCCAGGGCACCTTAAGTAACTTTCAGATCATAAGCCTCAAAGCCTGGGGGTCAGATGGGTACCACTTCAACTAGTGAAGTGTGACCGGTTTGATTTTCGGACATGTGGATCCCATTCTTAGATTGGTATGATGCACATGTTCCAAGAGGCAGGGTTGATCACTACATGTGTGTGTGTGTGTGTGTGTGTGTGTGTGTGTGTGTGTGTGTGTGTGTGTGTGTGTGTGTGTGTGTGTGTGTGTGTGTGTGTGTGTGTGTGTGTGTGTAAGGGGCGTGTGTGTGTGTGTGTGTGTGTGTGTGTGTGTGTGTGTGTGTGTGTGTGTGTGTGTGTGTGTGTGTGTGTGTGTGTGTGTGTGTGTAAGGGAGAGTCAGTTTACTTCTAGCAGTAACAAGAAGCGTTACCACCTTCCTGTTACAAGTGTGATGTCGATATACAACACGATTGGTGCAGTGTAGAACAATAGTGTCAAGGTACAAAAGATGCTATAGCGATGGCACTTGATAAAATCATTCCACAAAGGAACCAAAATGACACATAGAAGAACTAGTTCTTTGAAGACTGCTATAAAATACCGAAAAAAAAAAAGAATAAGACAATTGATTACGTTACAAGCAACAAAAAAGAGAAATGAGAAGCATATGCAAACCAAAGAAAGGATACACAATGAAAAAGTACTATGAGAAATAGTAGAAAAATTCCAGAAAAAGGAATCCGTTCCTTCTACAGGAGCATTACATCTTGTCATATCCTTGGTTTCCTCAACCTCAACGCTCAACTATAATGGGTACTTATAATGGGTAATCCTTTAAGCCCATTGCTATCAGATATTTTTATGGACCATCTAGAAACAAAGATTTCAAAACATCCCATATTCAAAGTTTTTGTATTGGTGGAGATACGTAAGTATGTATACGTAGATATGGTTGTCAGCAAAACGGAGTTACCAACAAACCAACGAGCATCAGAGCTTATGGAATAGAGATAGAAAGAGTCCCCAATATTACCTATTTGGGCGCAAACGTTAACGATAATTGCGATATTAATAAAGAAATAAGAATACGCATTGAAAAAGCCAGAGCCGCCTTCTATAAATTAAAGAAAATTCTAATTAATGGAGATATTACGTTAAACCTTAAAATCATATTAATACGTTGCTGCATATTCTCCACATTGCTGTATGGCATGGAGAGCTGGATCCTTACAGAGACATTACAGAAAAAATTGGAGGCCTTTGAGATGTGGATTTATCGACGAGTATTGCAAATAAGTTGGGTTGATCGAATAAGAAATGAAATAGTTTTACATCGAATGTAAAAGAGCACAGAAATAACAAAAACGATATAAATTAGCAAGTTACAATATTTCAGCCATGTAATGAGACATTTAGAGAGGTATAACTTTCTACACCTCATAATACAGGGTAAGATCGTCGGAAGGAGAGGTCCAGGCCGACGGAGAACATCCTGGCTCCGAAATCTCCGATAATTGTATCAAGTGGTCACCGCTTTTTTATTTAGAGCCGCCGTAAACAAAGCTATTATTGACAGGGTACTGAAAGAAGAAGGAGATACGTACACGATGTACTGGCATGTTTTACTGGAACTACCAGGCAACTAAACCAATTCTTATCATATAAAAATAAATCACTTGAGAATGGCTCTTTGGCCGAAACAGCTGTAGTGATAATAATTTAAAATAAATTTTGTGGAAGTGTCGAAGATAACTCACTCTGGGATCAAATATAACAGTAGGTAATTTGTTTTAACTTACATCTATCAACGGTATCGCTATCTCAAGCCGAATATTCGTAGAAAGCAATTCCAAAAGATGATCTTTGTCCTCACACGGTAACTCCAGAAAATAGGGCTTTTCCTCGAACCGTTCCGCGATTCTCTTGACGCACAAATCTGCTAGGGTTGGTACATGATGTTGATTCCAGCTTAAATCCTCGGCTATAATTAATCGTTTATCTTCACCGACTAAATTTAAACATTCTGCTGGAGGTTTATGAAGGTCTACTATTAGCGGATCGACGGTGTGGGGGATTCGCATTTTTGATTAAATTTTGTAGTATATTAACAAAAAGCTAAAAATTTTGTTCTATATAGTACAAGTGAATTCTTGTTTAAAATATAATTTATATTGTTCAATATCTTAATTTATTCTACCCAGTAGATAGAAAATTTATCTCTTAATAATATTTCATTAATTTCTATTAAGTTCTCGTGAAAAATCTTCTAAAACTTCAAACATATGACCCACCGAAAATTCATAAATCCCATATTCCACTATAGTCTAGGCGGGATCTGTTTTGGATTGGAAATTTTCGAAGGGAAGCTATTTTTTTGCTAGAATCCCTTCAGGATGTGCCCATTATCGATAATCACGATATGCGCCAGTCGCAAACCCTGTGCAAAATTTTTTATTTAACAAAATCTGAAAACAATTAAAAATTTCTCATTTTTTTGCACCTATTTTCATTTATAATTCGGAAAATATTAATCCTAGAGAAAAAATTATAGGTAGTTAAAAGTTTCGTTATTAAATTTTACACAATATTTTGTTAGCTAGAAATTGAAAATTTATTGGTTATTGTTGAAAAAAAAAAGCAATAATTGGAAAAAAAAGTACAAAAAAATGAAGTTAATCCTTTAAATGTTTTCGACTTTCTAAACTTGACTTATAAGTTCCATATTCCGTCTAGAAAAACTTTTTAATATGTTTAAAACGTGTGCTAAATTTTGTTAAGATCGGTCGGATAAGTTTTGCATAATAATTTTGCAATCCAGCCTACTGGAAAAAAATCGCAAATTTTCAAATTCATAGTAGGCCCTAAATAAGGCCCTCAGATAGTTGCAATTTTTTTACATATAAAGAAAGTCTCACACTTTCAAACGCTTTTTGTAAAATTCAAATCGGTTTACTAGGAAAGCCTATAAATTTTTTTAAAGTTATAAACATTTTTTAAGCTTATAAACAAATTAAATAACTTTACGAGCTTTAAACATATCAGTTTAAAAATGTATACACTTAAAGAACATTAAAAGACGCTTCTTTTAAAAAACAAAAAGATACATTCAGCTTACTGGTTGCCGAGATATTGAAGGTCAAAGTTGGCATACATTTGCCGTGTAACCATAAGTGATAGAGGGCTCGTTTTTAAACAAATACCCTCGTCTTGCCAAATACTTTTTATATGAAAAGTTTTACGTAATGCGCTTTATGGCAATATCCATAAAAAAGACAAATAAAAAACCGTTTTCGCGTAAAATGTCGCTCGGAATGCATGAGAAGTGGTGGTGAGGGACATTCACTTCAAATGTGAATCGGCGAGTATCAAGTAGGGGACCATCAGTTTGTTTAATTTCGGGTTTTGCAATATAAACAAAAGTAAAGTGCTCCAAAATCTGTAAGGGCTTGTAAAGTAAATTGTTACTTTTAGTAAACAAATATGTATTTATAAATTGTTAATAAATAATTTGAATTGTTAAAACGAAGGAAATTCTTTCTTGTAAAAATCAAACATTTTAAAATAATTAACATTAAAAATAATTTATTTCTGCAACTTCAAGCGAATTAAATTTTCTTAAATCAATGTCTTTCATGTCCTGCCTTTGTAAACTGGATTATATACATTTTGTTAAACTCTCTTGTTTAATTACTCGAGTTTTACATATCGACAATAATTCGTCACAAAGGAGGCAGATTTTTTCACTCATCTTTTCAAATAAATGAATCTAAAAAAGTAAAACAGTTTAGCCTCTCAGATTCCAAGTATTATCTAAATTTTAAATTATATGAATTTAGAATAATTTTGTAAAAAAATTATTAGTAATATGTCAATCATTTTATATAAAATATTTAAAAATATAAAATATTTTATACCTTTCAGAACTTCTCTTAAAATGGAGTCGATGTGCTCGTACAATCCTCACAAAGCAACGCGAAATATATAAACTTTTTATTAGTTTTTGAAATACAAAATATTTTACTATTAAAACTCACGGATTTGACAATATAACTACTATATAAAAGCGTGGAACATAATATGATCAAACCACTGAAAAACGTGTTCAGCACGCCTTTAATACAAGCCCTTACAGATCTTGGAGCACTTTACTATTTGTTTTTATTTTAAAACCCGAAATTAAACAAACTGATGGTCCCCTACTTGATACTCGCCGATTCACATTTGAAGTGAATGTCCCTCATCATCACCTCTCATGCATTCCGAGCGACATATTACGCGAAAACGGTTTTTTATTTGTCTTTTTTATGGATATTGCCATAAAGCGCATTGCGTAAAACTTTTCATATAAAAAGTATTTGGCAAGACGAGGGTATTTGTTTAAAAACGAGCCCTCTATCACTTATGGTTACACGGCAAATGTAAGCCAACTTTGACCTTCAATGTCTCGGCAACCAGTAAGCGGAATGTATCTTTTTGTTTTTTAAAAGAAGCGTCTTTTAATGTTCTTTAAGTGTATACATTTTGAAATTGATATGTTTAAAGCTCGTAAAGTTATTTAATTTGTTTATAAGCCTAAAAAACGTTTATAACTTTAAAAAAATTTATAGGCTTTCCTAGTAAACCGATTTAAATTTTACAAAAACGTTTGAAAGTGTGAGACTTCCTTTATATGTAAAAAAAAAATTGCAACTATCTGAGGGCCTTATTTAAGGCCTACTATGAATTTGAAAATTTGCGATTTTTTCTCTAGTAGGCTGGATTGCAAAATTATTATGCAAAACCTATCCGACCGATCTTAACAAAATTTAGCACACGTTTTAAACATATTAAAAAGTTTTTCTAGGCGGAATATGGAACTTGTAAGTCAAGTTTAGAAAGTCGAAAACATTTAAAGGATTAACTTCATTTTTTTGTACTTTTTTTTCCAATTATTGCTATTTTTTCAACAATAACCATTAAATTTTCAATTTCTAGCTAACAAAATGTGTAAAATTTAATAACGAAACTTTTAACCACTTATAATTTTTTCCCTAAGATCAATATTTTTCGAATTATAAATGAAAATGGGAGCAAAAAAATGAGAAATTTTTAATTGTTTTCAGATTTTGTTAAATAAATTTAGCACAGGGTTTGCGACTGGCGCATATCGTGATTATCGATACTGGGCATATCCTGAAGGGATTTCAGCAAAAAAATAGCTTCCCTCGAAAATTTCCATTATGGTCTGAATTTCTACAGATGCCGCCTAGTCTACTACGTTTTATTATCAGTGCATATAATTCATACTTGATCAAAAATTCTTTCCATTTTATCAAACTTTAAAAATATTTTATTGAACATAGAAAATCAATAAAATCTACAACGTCAACTACACAGTGAAGACCCAACAAGAGAAGAAGTGTCAAATGCCATCCTAAAACTCAAACACAATAAAGCACCAGGAATCAATGAAATCTGTTCGAAAATGTGGTAATCAATTTTTTGCACCAATCCATAGATTAATAGTACCTATATGGAAGAATTAATTAGTACCAGAAGAGTGGCTAACGGGAATAATATGTCCGTTGCATAAAAAGGGTGATCAACTGGAGTGTAAGAACTATAGAGGGAATTACTCTGTTAGCAACTGCGTATAAAATCTTCGGCAATGTATTGTTTGAAAGACTTAAAGATTTTACAAAAGATATTGTTGGTCAATATCTGCTGTTTTACTGCTGGAAAGTCAACTACACATCAAATTCAAGCACAAGCAGATTCTAGAAAAATCTCTGGAATATAACCTAGATGACGTCGAAGATACAACTTTGAACTGTATCAGTTATACACCGATTCAGATATTGTAAAATTCGTTAAAGTGCAGAGACTTAGATGGACTGGACACATTGCTAGGATGTCAGATCACGAATACACGAGAAGATTAACATTTTCAAACCCAGGGGGCACAAGAAGCTAAATAAAAGGGATACAAAACATCTTATAAGAAAAGGAATGGTAACACAATGGAGCAGGATTGCAAAAAATAAGAACTTTAGGCAAAAATTTGATGTAAAAAATGTGATAAGCAAAAATATTCGTCAAAAGTAACGGAAAAGAAAACTGTATAAACGTATTGTAAGAATGAATTACTGTAGAATGCCATAAGATGCAGAAAAACCTTAATCACGAAGTACCATATTATGATGGACGCAAGCTGTGGAAGAATGCGTTAGTCTTTTCAAATTCGTCTAAATGGTATAGCATCCTAATATACCTTTCACGATGAAGATGAAATGAATTACTGTAGAAGAGCAAAATGAAGGAGAAGAAAAATTATAAAGCAAATAAAAAGTGAAATAAAAGAAAAAGAAATTCTTATTAACAAAAATCCCAAAATCTAAAATTGGAAGCATAAAGAAATTTTAGCATAAATGTAAAATACCTTATTGTAATTTAAACACACTTCTAAATTTTGCTTCCAGTTGTACAATTTGTACTGAGTTTATCACTATATTTTTTACATTTCCACAAATTATCAAAGCCAAATTCCATGAGTTATAAAAAAAGTTTTATTAACTAGTTAAGTAGTTTGATAAATATCAAATGTTGACAAACAAATAAAAAAATAAAATTTTTCTGACAATGAAGATGACACTGACAAAACTGTACATAAAAAAGTGTAGCAGAAAATAAACAGAGTACTATAATCTAGAGAAAGACGTGTATATCCTCACATTGTACGTAATAAATGAAACCTCGCACTCTTCTTCTTCTTCTAATTTTGCTTATTCTTATTCTTTTTTCTATGCTATTTCTATATATCTTATTTTGTCTTAAAATAATTTGGTACTTAAATATTTTTTTTTTATTTAGCTTTACGTTTATCGACAACGTAGGTCACTGACACAGGTACAATTTTATTACATTACATTGTAATACTAGCGGGGAAAAGTCCGCTGTCACCATTGAAATACTAGCAAAGTTAAAATTACTGTAACCCTTGTAACATCCTCGGTTTAAACTTTAAAGGATGCTTATCCCTGCGAGCGCAGGCAAAGCTTGCTGGTCCCACTAGTCTGAACTGGCTGGTTCGCCCTCGTGGATTTACAAGATGGTAGGAAAATCTGGAAAAAGGGTTAAGGACTTCTAGGTCTCAGGTCCTGTAAAGAGTTGAGTCTATGGGCTTACTTTAGAAGCCGGAGGAATGCATAAGCGGAAATTGTGTACTCTTCTAGTCTCTGCTTGTAACGGCCGGGAAGGAACAATAAAACCAAGTTTCGAGTCTACAAATGTATTAAATAGACTGTATACTACAATTAAGTTAACAAGCTGTCGTTATAATCAATAATGATTCGTTCAGGCGCGAAGGGACGCGAGAAGAGACTTTAGCAAGAAATTAAAAGGTGGACAATCTGCGTTCCTATATAATTTACCTGGGTTAGTATATAGATTTAGTTACCTTAGCGTATTTAGGCCCTAACTAATGAATACGTCCTTCAGTCCTACTGGAATTCAGGTTCAGTTGTAAAGGTACCGCGCGCTATCACGAATTTTCGAAACTCCAGGTACCCGGCACTTAATCGGTACTATTAGCCCGTCGAAATACAATAGCGCGATCACTTGATCGCCCGGTTCCACTCTTACTGACCCGACGTTTACTGGACGCTACCACCTCCGAGTACTCACGGGTGCCGGGCAGCTACTGCCCGCCGAGCACTCTCTGGCTCCGGTCGCCCGAATGCTACCGGTGCCTAGCGCTTACTGACTCTCCTGGCCCACTTCATTGGTTTTTATGAACCCGTATTCTCATTTACCAAGGTCGAGCTTTCGCTGACTCAGTACTCATGATTCAATCGGGTCAGGCAGCGTTGTTATTTTTCAACAAAGGTCTCTGTTTTAAACGTGATTTTTTTCTTTTAAACAATTGTTGCAAACTGATATTGAACTAGTGTAATACACTTAAACTAGGTCGAGTTTTCATTTTTTGTTTTTGAAATGTATACGTTAGCTATGTCGAATTATTTGTTCTTTATTCAATTTGGAATATATAATAATTATTTATAATCCGACAAGGGAGTGCTGGCGGGTGAGCTGCGCAAAAATAGAAAAGAAATTATTCTAAGAGAGATAGGAGAGGTACTCAATCGCGATTATAGGTATATAGTATAGGTACTTAAACGGTTATACACGATGTGAACTCCTAGACGACTGCAATAGAAATGAGCAATCCCTTCCACTTTTTAATTTGTTTTACGCGCAACCCGCCAGCTCTCGCTTGTCGGGTTATAAATAATTTTTACTCTTCTCTAGGCTACTACCCCTTATTTTTTTTCCTTTATTTTCTTGCTATGTTTACATTACAACATTACAAGAATATGCAGTAACATTACAATCGATAAAGAAATACATTAAATATTGGTACAATTTTTTCACTTTTCCAAGAAATTAACGCACCACTTTGAAATATTAAAATATTTTATTAGCGTTAATAAAAATTTCCATTGTAATTTTATATTTTGTAAGCCCTTGTATATGCTATTCGTACAGTCTATATTTTTTATTGACTTTGTTTTATCGCTATAGTTTTTTTGCAACAAAACAAAAAGAAAGCAAAAAATGTACTAATTCTATAAACATACTAATTTCCAAGTGTTCACGAATTTTATTCGGCTGCTGTTTAATTGTTGATTATTGTTAATTGTACCCTGTGCAGAGTGCAACTCCTGCTACATTGGCCAGACCAGCCGCTCTCTTCAAGGTCGACTAACGTCCCACAAAAGCGACATTAGGATTTCTAAACCATCTTGTGCCCTTGCACAACATGCCATTTCAACTAAACACAGTATCGACTTCACGAATACCAAAGTACTGTGCAAAAAAAAATTATCATATGCGTTGTATCCTTGAAATGTGTCAAATTCTAAAACATCCATCGTCCCTAAATAAGAGAACCGACATTGACAACTTGAGCCAGATATATCACTCTCTCATCATACATAACAAATAAAAAAAAACACTGTAACATTTTTTTTATTATTAATATATTAAATATTTCTAATTAATTTTACCCCGTGCGATACGCCTATCATCGTGTATCGATAGCAAAATATTGTAGATACCCAGTTAAAATGGAATTCCCTAATTAGGAATGGTTTATAATCCTTCCGTCATAATATTCATTATGAAAAGAGTATAATGCGTTTTGGTATGCAGTTTCCTTTTCATAAATTGGTAATTTTCGTCGAAGGCCCGTTTCTTTTGACATTAACATAATCCCAAGTATTGTCTGTTTCTTATGTCCAATTGTTAATACTGATTATTTTACCTAAAAGTTTCCAATAGTCGTTAAGGCCTTACCTTCTGAGAAACACATACAACTGTCCTATCATTCTTGAGTGGGGGAATATTTTCTTCTTCCTTTTTCAGGGACAGTTGGTGAAATTTTTGAGTTGAACCAACTTACTTGTTGGTGGGCCGTTGCTGAGTTAAGGCCAATATCTCGTGTTACGCTTTGCTCACTTTATTTCTTATCGTATCGTCTTTGTGAATTATTTTCTAAGTGTGTATACACTTTATATTTGAGTTTTCTTTCCTTAGACTATATTAAATTATACATAGTTCTACACTACCTTTAATGGTTATTAATTTCAGTGTTTAGTACCAGAAAAGTATTAAATTCAGTGAATTAAGCTGCCTTCGTCAAGATCTACTGTAAGTAATTTTATCTACAATTATCTGGGCGAGTAATATGGTATGGTACCATATCACCTGCCATTATCTGGACGTATCATCGATATCTTCACCTGTAGATTGCCGATTTTTGAATGTAATTGAACCATTCAAGAAATTTCTATAAATATTACCTATGAACATACAAGTCTCAGTTTTTTATTGAATAATAGTGCGAGATACTTAATTGACTTAGCCAAGTGCGGTTTGGTTTATGTTTTTATTTCTGTAACCTTTTTGTATTTTTGTACATTTAGAGTTAAGTAATTTTTGCTATCTTTTGTATTTCCTATAATTTTTTTTCATTATCTCGAGATACGCCAAACTATATTTGTATATGATTGCCTTATATATCTTGGTAAAGGTATTTTTTTATTACATTATTGCTTAATTTTATACATATATAACACCATTTCATAGTTGTGTATTGTTATTACTTGTGTTGCATTTAGCAGAATCATAATTTTGTGTTTAATATATTGTTATTGTTTTATGCATGTATTTTATTTGTCGGCTCCTAACAAGTTCCCTGATAAAATAATAGCTCTGAACAATTACTATCTTTAAATATTACTATGCTTTTGAACTGTAGAAAGATCAGGCTGATTAAGTTTCGTAGGTAAGTAAGTGTAATACTTAATATATTTATTATTTGTTTATATATTGCGTTGACCAGATTTATTTGATAATTTACTGTTGGCATCTTTCCTTGGGTTTGATCTCTAAACCTAAATATCTTTTCTTATCTCTTTTCTTTTCTAAGGTTTTCTTAATTTTCTCCTTAACCTCAAAAAATTGAGTGGCGCCCTGTTTCTATCTATCTATCTTCTCTTATCTTTGGTAGTAGTAGAAAAGCTAGTTTCGAACCCACGACTCGCTCTCCACCAACCATCTGGCTGCCGTCCGCAGTGTCTCCATTGGTTATCTTTCTAGCACCACCTAAAAAAGATTTTCGAGGTTACAACACATACAAGACAGTAAAGCTTGTCGCTCACTTATGCACTGCAACGCGAAGCGAAGCGCGGAGAAAAAGGTTGTTATGAATTCTCTTCATGTAGTTAAATACACTCTGCGTATCTGTGCGAAGCAACGCGCTGCACAGCGAACAAAAATAACACGGATCGCAACCGTAAAATCCTAGGCGAAGAAATTCTGTTCGGCGCGCTGTTGCAGAGCATATGTGAGCGACAAGCTTTACTTCATTCCCATTCTTCTTTCCTTTTTGTTTGTTTGTTTGTTTTTTAAAGAAAAAAAAAAGAAAAAATGAATCTTTTTTAAAAGAAGGTCTGTCTTTATTCCGTTTACTAACTCCCTTAATATTCGTACCTCCCTGCCTTCCAAAGAAATATATGTAGGTACGACACAAGCCACATGTGTAAATTATGACATCCTACATCCTACAAGCCATCATCGGTCAAAATTAAATTACCGATAGTGCTTTTACAGTTTTTACAGTTTTTCTTGTGTTTTTTTTTCTTTCTTATTCTTTTTTATTTGCAGTGAACTGATGACGCTTTTAAAAATAAAAGCGAAACGTATTCGACTAAATCAATGAAGTAGTTGACGACTTTCATTTGCCAATTATTGACCAATAAAACCTCTGCTATTCAACCCTTGAATATATTTTAAATTTAATCAACGACTTAATCAACAAAAGAGTTCTAATGTAGCTCATTAATTCTTTTAGTGTTTCTTATATTCCTAACTTCAAATTTTTTTTCTGTCATTTATAAATTTTGTTGAGTTTAATTCTAGAACTCTCGAATATCTGATAATAAGATTGAAAAGACTTTATATGTCTGTAGTAATTTGATTACATTTAATAGGTTTTTGTGTCATCCCAAATTATTTAAATTGCATTGAAATCTCAAGGTATAATT